TGCGCCATTTTTATCTTTGTCTTTTGCCATAAAACGCACAAAAGCTCAGATAATTCGTTGATAAACAGCACATGTTCCAGTTAAAAATATTCCGGTACTGACAACGTATAATAATCGTGCAATTGCGTATGAATGTGTGAAAGGAGAGAGGGAGATATGTGTATGTACATGCGTATTATACGGGTGCCCAAAATCTGATTTTGCTCTTTCCACAAACCCCAGATTTTTAACACCAATTTTCAATGGTTCTCACTTATCCACAAATTTTCATAGCGTTTGCATGTTATTTCACATATCAACACTGTTATTGAGTTTATGCACACAATCTTTAACCGTTCTACGTTTTGTTTCATATTTGTCACATTCGGACGTTCTTCCCCGTTTTCATATTTTCACTTTCACTTATGTAAACATTTCCATTATTTGGCTTTTGTACACATTGTTTTTTATCCACAGCTTGTTGGCCTTTTAACGCACGTTTGCTGTCGCCAATTAACATTTGGGTTTATCCACAACGTGCCTTCATGTCTTTTGCACACGTTTTTACGTCATATTCACACGTTCTGCGTTTTCACATCCCACTTATCTGCACACAGTCTTGGAAATGTCGGTGTGCGCAAATTGGAAATATTCCACGTATTTAACTTTTGAAATCATTTTTTTAACGTTCAAGCTTCATTTTTCTTGGACATGGGTTATTTTGAAATGTGGGTCACAAATTGGAATTATTGAGCATAAAGCATGTATTTTTACTTGTCTTTTTTACACGTTCTTTTCCGTCCATTGGCACCGTTATTTGGCGTAGTTCGCACGTATTTTCACTTACCATCATCCAGTTCAAACACACTGCTTGAAGTCGTCGCGGCGAACTCTTTGCGCGGAAAGACGCCATTTTTTGGTTGGAAAATACGGGATTTAGAATCCACGTTTTAAACGTTCATATTCTAGCACAGTTTTTTTTGGTTATCAAAAAGGTTAGGAAAAGTAGAAATAAACGCAAATGAGGAGAGAAAGCGTTGAACTGTGAGAAAAACGCTCATAAACCGCGTTTCGATTCCGTCTTCCAACTCAAAAAAGTGCGCATGCCCAATAAACGAGGGAAAACAGTGAAAATTAATTGGCGGAAAATCGTTTGTTGTTTAAAAAACGTTAATGTGGCATATTTGCAAAACGTTTGGGAGGAAAACACATGCTATAAAATGGTTAAATTAGGGGGGGAAACGAAATTAACATGTGCGTCAAGAAGAGCAGCCACCAGGGGAGGATTCATTGAGCATATCGAAGGAGGGTTCATCGATGAGACGGGAGAGAGTACGTTACAAAATCTGATTGGTCAATTTCAATCAAAACGTTAATATTCGAGGGATGCATTCAGACTCATATTAGCACATTTTTTTTGTTTATCAACTCTGTTTAAAGCGTATGGATCAACTGAAATGTGAGCTATGCAAATCTATAATATTGGCGATTCCACCCACAATTTCTACTATATGGAATATGAACATGGTATGAAACATTTAATGTGCGCAAAACGTGGATGTGGATAACCAAAAATTTGTGCAAGGCTCATATATTTGTGAAAGTGAGAAATATGAACTGAAAACGCAATATAGGAGAAACGTCAGTCAACTTTAAACGTTCATATACGTTTCAAATGTGAACGGGTGAATATGAAAAAAAAACTAACGGAGTGCATAAACCCAATTTTCAATCAATAATTTCCACTGAACAAAATGCAGTGGAATAAGCTGTGGCCAATAAAATGGAGTAAAATACGAACGCAGATGCATTTGTATGTTTTTTTTCACTTTCATAGATGAGTTCACAGGTCGTTCGATGGTCTTTACCGTGAAAGGCGGCAGCTTTGCAAAAAAGATGTTTACGAGATTTCCCGCCCTGTGCGTCCGTGTCCTCTGTTCCTTTCGAAACTGGCGTAGTTATCTCAGTTTACTTATATTCACGCGTACTCGATAATTTAACATTGATATTTTGGGCTACGTTTATTTTTCATATTTATCCTACTCCATATCCAATTAATGCTCCAAATACACGTTTCAAAAGTGAACGGGTGAATATACTAACGGAGTGCATAAACGCCATTTTCAATCAATAATTTCCACCGTACAAAATGCAGTGGAATGAGTAAAATACGAACGCAGATGCATTTGCCCGTGTTTTAAAATACGTTTTTTTATTATACAGCTGCGTTATTTGTTTTTTTCACTTTCATCATCTACAAAACCTAAATAGTCGAATGAATATGAGTTCACGTTACTTGGATTCAACGCGTGCTTGTAAGACAGGTCGTTCGATCGTCTTTACCGTTAAAATTCCAGCCCGTTGTAAAAAAGATGTGTACGAGATTTCCCGGCGTTTGCGTCCGTGTCCTCTGTTCCTTTCGAAACTGGCGTACAATAAAGTGTTTTTGCTTAGTGTACTCGATAATTTAACATTGATGTTTTTGGGGGCACGGTGACAAATTTTCATGGCAACGTTTATTTTTAATATATATCCTACCCACAATTCCAACTACATTACTAATTAATGCTCTCCCACTATTCCCATTGTTGCCAACCCACAATTCCTCTTCATGCCCACACAGAATTCTTGCAACATTTCCGACAGGCATCATGGAGTTTCTCTTTCGTCAGTTTCTCTTTGAGATAGAACCTCACGGACCTCCTTCGTCTGGAGCGGGGGAAAATCGAATGATGATAATGAGCTAGTAGGGCCATCATGATTGTGTTAAAACTGTTCCGATAAAAGGGAGATTATTAATTAGAACGTATAGGGTGATAAGTTATACTGCCGACCACTCTACGCCAAGCCTGATTGCGATTTTTTTTGTTGGTGTGCACCATTTTTATCTTTGTCTTTTGCACAAGCAAATGAGCAAAAGCCATAAAACGCACAAAAGCTCAGAAAATACGTTGATAAACAGCACATGTTCCTAAAATAATGGCGAAAAATGCGTCAAAGAGACGAAAACCTATCGTGCAATTACGTATGAATGTGTGAAAGGAGAGAGGGAGATATGTGTATGTACATGCGTATTATACTGGTGCCCAAAATCTTATTTCTCACTTATCCACAAATTTTCAAAGCGTTTGCATGTTATTTCACATATAAACACTGTTATTTAGCTTATGCACTCAATCTTTAACCGTTCTACGTTTACTTTCATATTTGTCACATTCGGACGTTCTTCATATTTTCACTTTCACGTATTTTCACAAATCTATGTTCTTTCACCGTTGTACGCTTATGTAAACATTTCCACCTGTTTTTTTCCTCGACGCACGTTTGCTGTCGCCAATAAACATTTGGGTTTATCCACTACGTGCCTTCATGTCTTTTGCACACCTTTTTAAAAGGTAGTGCGTTCAACTACGTCATATTCACACGTTGTGCGTTTTCACATCCCACTTATCTACACACAGTCTTGGAAATGTCGGTGTGCGCAAATTGGAAATATTCCACGTATTTAACTTTTGAAATCATTTTTTTAACGTTCAAGCTTCATTTTTCTTATTTACACATTCTTCTCCGTTCTCTTTTGGACATGGGTTAATTTGAAATGTGGGTGGGCACAAATTAGAATTATTGAGCATAAAGCATGTATTTTTACTTTCTTATTTACACGTTCTTTTCCGTCCATTGGCACCGTTATTTGGCGTAGTTCGCACGTATTTTCACTTATTGACCGTCACTGAAATGGGAGGGTTGGCGTTAATTAGAAATATATGTTTGCATTGGCATTGTTACTATCTTTTGCACAGTAAACTGCGTAGCAAATTCAGATTTTGAAAAAGAATTTTGGGCATTGAATAATATATACACAACACTCCCTCTCCCTGACGCTTCCGTGCCGTCGGGTTGTCTACGTGAAGTATATTCAAAAGAAAGACAAACCACAGTTGGAACTGGGAGAAGCGTTCTATTGCGACGCCCTCTTGAAGACGTCGAATTTGAAGACGGACGAGATGCTGAAGTTTATCCACCAAACGAGATTACCGAACTCTGAAGTTAATTGTGGAGACCAACTGGTGTGAGAGGCACCTTCGGGCTCTCCGGCATTATGAAGGCATCCTCCAAGTTGGGCGGCGAATCTGGAATCTCCTCCTCGGTAAGTTCACCGATTAGTGCGTCAAACACCGGCGATGTAAATGCCATCTAATTGGGAAGGATTGGTGCGCAATTTCGGTGGGGTTTATATAGTCTCAAGTGAACCATCTGATTGTGGTGAAGTCATGAATCTAATTAGCGAGTGCGCATGCGCAGAAAAAGGAGGGTCGCGTATTATACCTAAGCCTCTTTTTGTGCTGTGCTATGGCGCTTATTTGGCCCTAATTAAGTTTTTGTCCCCAATTAGAGTTGGCCCATGGGAAAATCCCCTTGTTTGACCTTTGACCTTTGACCCCCCCAGGTGCGATTCCATGCGTAAAGGCAGCTTCGCAGATTCCTGCAGGAGAAAGGCTTCACTGACTACTACTTCAAGATGGGGCGAATAAAGGGTGTTGCCGCGATCGCGGCGGAAGTAGTAACACACGGTATTAATTGGAAATGTGTGTGGGAAACAAATGGAATTGTGGGTTGGCATTAATTGGAAATGTGCGTGAGCTACAACAAGCGTTATCTTGCGTTTATCTTATTCGCTTTTTGCACTCTTTTTTAACCGTTCTACGTTTATCCAACTCATATACACAGCTTTCTTCTGCGATTTCAAATGTTAATTCCGCATTTCGACACGTGTATACGCGCATGTCCGCTTTGTTATTTACTGTTTTTCAGTTATGTACAGATCAGCTGATATTCACAGCTTATATGTTCATACACACGTTCTTCTTCGTTTTTAGCGGAATTGTGGGTGGGCGTTCATTGAAAATGTTTGTGGGCGCTAAATGACGTTTTGCCGGCTAGACTAGCGCGGGCGCCGTACGGCTCAGGGCCAGGCCGCATGCGCAGCACATTGCGCTCGCTTCGCGCGCGAGATAGAAATTGGGATCAACCTAGTATAGCAACGCTCGCTGGTCTCTCCTGTCAGCAACAGAGCTGTGTACTTCGCGAAAGTTTTAAACTATGGCCACGTCCACCAGCTCCACGCCGACTTCTAGTTCCCTGGCGACGACCGACTACGTCTCTCGTCTCAGCTATCTCCGGCAGTTAGTCCGGCAGTCGGTTGACGAAGTCACGTCACCGGTGCTGAAATCTATCTTTCCCACAGCCTTGGGTCGAGCTCCGTTCCTGGCCCCAGCGGCGTGGTGGTATCCGCTTTCCCAGCAACAACAGCTTCTACACCCCCACTCCGGTAGGCATTTCATGTGCTCTGTATACTCTGTGTATGAGACGCAGCGGAGCGTTGCTGTGGCGTATAATAGCGAGCTAAGGGCTCCAGCGTTATGTATATGCAACCAGTCTTATAGGAAGGCATCTTTCTACGTTTATCACACTGCTTCCACGTTCATATATCTTATTCGCACGCTCAGGTTTGACAGCAATTGACCTTTTTTGAGGTTGCTCTTAATAGCATGGCTAGCTTCAAAGACACCAGGTATAGACGCCCTAAGCTACGAAAGCAATTATCTACGCCCTACTACATCCGGAGTGCGTTTAGGCCACGCCCAGCGCCGTTAGCCAATGGGGATTTTGCTTGCGTCGTCACACCTGATATTCTAACAAAGCGAATATCATTAAAAAAAGTTAAATCTTTTGCCAAGTTGTGCGGAATTTTTTAGAGTCACGTGGAGCGCTTGACGTTGAGAGGGACAAGGCAAGTTCACGGACTGGCTACTCTTACCAACACAGTTATAATTTTGTGCTTGAATTTATGGTTGTTGGTTGATGGAATGACTTTCACTCCTCCGGCTGTGTCCCTCTCTCCCTAGAGTCCCTCCTCATCACTCTCTCTCTCACCCTTCACGCAAGAGCCAGAAGAGCGAAAGTCATTCCATCAACCAACAACCACAAATTCAAGCACAAAATAATAACTGTGTTGGTAAGCGTAGCCAGTCTGTGAACTTGCCCTGTCTCTCTCAAGGATAATATAGGTCAAGCGCTCCACGTGACTGTAACTCGGCCAAGGAGAGCCCAAAAAATTCTGAACAACTTGCATCAGGGTGGCAAAACATTCAATTTTTTTAATGATATTCGCTTCGATTGCAAGAAAAATCCCAATTGAAATGTATGGCTAACGGCGCTGGGCGTGTGGCCTAAACATACTCCAGATGTAGTAGCGTGTAGGTAGGGCGAAAAGGTCTATTGTACCATTGTTTTTTCGTTTAATCTGCTCTGTTCGATGTGTTTTCTGAGCATTTGTACGTTCTTATTGGCTTTTGCACAGATTGTTGATACTCCAAATTGACACGTTCTTCTGCGTTTTCACACGTTTATTAAGTTGGCACCAATTGGAATTGTGGGTGGGCTTTAATCGGAAGTGTGGGTTGGTGCCAATTGGCGGTTGGGCGCTTGTGGTATCGCCCTTGCTGCATAGTTAACGTCTTACCGGGCTGTCTTTACCCTCGGAATCTGGGAGCCACAAGCTTGTACTTGTGTCGGATTGGCAGTCGTGTGAGGTACAGACTTTGCCCCTCCACTTTCACCCCTGCAATGGAGGGGGGTGTTGCCCTCCTCTGCGTTCTACCCAAATAGGCCAACCGCCAATCCTCTCAACAACTAACATGCCGAGCGCCCGTAGATAGATAAGGATCACATCCGAATGATAGCCTACGGCAGACGAACGTATTGCCAGTACGTCACGGTCTCCCACCTGCCCAATGTCTTTATCATGCTGTCCTCTACTTCTCACTGTTGTAGCGGCTCCAATGCGGAAACTATGACCGCCTTATTTCCGTTGGGCGATCTACCAAAGCGGCCCTTACACTGTCCACGACCCGCTTACGCGTGAGGAATTCGCCACATGAAAACCAAAAGAGTGGGGGCTAAGACTAGCTGATTCGCTGCTGTAAAGAAGAACAGGCACCGCACCATGTGCATTGTGACGGGGTACTTTGCCGACCCTGAACGGAGAATAGCAACTGCAGCTGCATTGTCGCATAAGCAGCGTATTGTCTTTCCCTTCCAGGCATGCCCCCACACCGCACACCCTACCACAATAGGAAACTGCTCCATGGTAGTGATGTGGATCCGTGCCCATGCTTTCGGCCACTGAAACTGAAACCATGCTCCGGAGTCAGAGTAGGCACCACATCCCCAGGACCCTGACGCGTCTGAGGTGAGTGCTGCCGATGGTTGCTGGCGCACCACGCCCTAAAACATGGAAACCCCATTCCATCCTTCCAGGAAGGCCGCCCACCAGTGTAAGTCCGATTGGAAGCCCTGGTTGAGACGGACCCGGTGGTGCAACCTTTGGGGATGGAGGAGAGGTCAATCATCCTTCTTAGGAAGGTACGACCAGCCCTCACTACCCGGCAGGCATGACTGAGGTGGCCGATCAGGGAGAGTAACTCTCTTGGTACAGGAGCGCCGCCCTACCCACTGCCGAATCAGACTGTGCAGTCTCCTTAGCTTTTCTGGTGGCAATTTTAGAGTACACGACTCCGTGTCTATCAGTATATCCAGGAACGGAAGTCGCACAGAGGGGCCCTCCACCTTGTAGTCTGCAATGGGGAATCCCAGCATCTGACATAGAGCCAAGGACGTGCACCGGACTCTATCACACTGATCTGAGTCACCCTCGCCCATCACCAAAAAATCGTCGAGGTAGTGGAGGGCATGAGTGACGCCATGCCTCCCCATACACCATAGAAGACCGTCGGCCACGGTAGTGAACAACTTTTGAGCTCCGAAAGGTAGTGCTCCATCGACGTAAAGCTCCCCCCTCCATACCATATTTAGCAACATACTGTCATTTGGGTGAACGGGCACCACCCTGTAGGCACCTGCGATGTCGAACTTGGCAAGTTTTGCCCCTTTGCCTAGATACTTAAAGTATTATCCACCGATGTGTACGACAGAGAGCATAGCTCACTACTGACCACATCATTGACGCTGAAGCCACGTGCGGAGGATAAGTCAGTTATCAGCTGCCACTTCCCTGGCTGATGTGGCTTGGGGATTACCCCAAACCGGCTGACGTGCACCGATTGCCTCCAGTGGGAGCTGAGTGGACCAATGATACGGCCTGCCGACACTTCCTCCCGAATGTACTTCTCGATTGGCTCAGGATGAGTGGTTGCCGACTGAATGTTGTGGGCCGCACTCCTACCTAAGAGTGAGAGGCAAAGCCGAACCCGAGCCGAACCCGATACGAAAACCACCCTCAATCCCTGCCAGAATGTAGCTCAAGTACTCGGTATCTGGGTGGTCTTGGAGCTCCTCACGCCATACGTCTACAGCCAGAGGTGTGATCACACTGTCCACTCCAGGTGGCAGAGGTCCCGGGGCTGAGGGACGGTAGGAGTCCATGCTCCTGAGGTCCTGCATATAGATGTATTTCCCTGGCGAGTTTAGCAACTCCGCCCCGGCTGGGACACCCACACAGATTGAGGCACCTGTGGTCGGGTGTATAATTGTGCTACTTCACCCGCCGTTATATGCCGGCACCTGAGCTACTGATCAACAACACCTGATAACCAAAGAACACAACTACATGCAGTAGAACATGTCTATGCCGCATCTCATTAGGATGGGGACCTGCACTGGAAGAGGCCTACAGCCTGCGTGTCTCCCGCTGCGCCTTGGTGTCGCGACCAGGCCTGCTCTCCTTCTCATCCCGAAGGGTGGTACGCTGTAGCATTGGGTGGTCTCCCCCACAGTGCAGGCATGCATGCCTGTACCGGCAACGCGGGTAGCGACACTCGCCCTGGTTCCAAGCGAAGCAACACTGGGGTGTCGCACGACGTTTAGAACCCTGAGTATCTGTGCTGAGGGGTCGGGGCCGCTTCAGGGTTGGCTGTGTTCGCGTCTGCAACTGATGGAGAGCACAGTCTTGCTGTGTGTGGTCTGAACCCATACATGGGGCACAGTTCGATCCACCTTTGCCTCCCTGCCCTAGAAATGTGACTGCATATAAAGAGGAGTTGAGGTGTGACCTCCTTGACAGACTTCACCTTGGTTCCTCTGGCGTCCACCCTCTCCTTGTCAACCACCCTGTCAGGTGGCGTAACTCCCACAAAGGTGGACACCGCTCCCTCTCCTGGGCCCAGATCCAGTACCGGCAGCCCTAGAGCGACAATGGCTGCCGGGTCTGGGGTATCTCCCAGAGTGGCCGAGGACGATTCTCCTATGCATAAAGAGGAGGAAGGCCAGCTCAACCCGTGTCCTCAGTTCTTAGGCCCCTACCAGTGTAACTGGCAGTTCACCAATTCGACTAATAATATGGAGTGTGGTCACCCACCTTCGTACTGATTGCCCGCAGAAGTAATAACCCAGCCACGGTTTGAACCATGCCAACAAGGCGATGGCCCAGTATCAGTGGCCAATGGGCGACCGATGGTCCACCTTGGACCCGACTAGGGTGATGGTCCAGCTTGGACCTAACAAGGTGATGGTCCTGCTTGGACCCGACATGGTGATGGTCCAGCTTGGACCCGACTAGGGGATGGTCTAGCTTGGACCCAGCAAGGTGCTGGTCGTGCTTGGACCCGACACGGTGATGGTCCAGCTTGGACCTGACTAGGTGATGATCCCGCTTGGACCCGACACGGCCGGCCATGGTCCCGCTTGGACCCGACAAGGTTGTGGTTGGGCCCGACTAGTGATGCCTCGGAATGGGGGGCGCAGCTGGCTGGTCGGGAACGCCCACCAGTAGCACCTTCCAGCTGCCCACCACGTGGACACTGGAACCTGCTGTTGCTCGCTACCCTTAAGCTACTGGGCCCTACCTACTGTATGCACTAACCCCCCTCCCTCCGCAGGGGGCTTAAACTTACCTCCTTCGCAGTCGACCGGTGCGGATGGTCAGAACAGAGCGGGGTCCTCTCGCAGGACCTCCAGCAAGGTGTCTTTTATCAGAGAACGAAGATCGGTGCTCCAGACAAGGTATCCGACGGTGGAGGAGTCTCGGTGCTCATGATGCAGGTAAAAAAATCTCTGTTGTCCTTGGCTTCGGTCGGCTTTAGACGAACTGAAGTGCTGGCTGAAAGGACGGCTTATTGTACTAACGCATTCGCGTAACACCTGGTGCGCGCGCTATCGCGCCGTGCCGCCCCAGCTACCCCCGATCGGCCTCGACTCTAAAGGGATTTAAACCCTATATAATGACGGCTGTAAGCGGTTGTGGTGAGTGAGACTCAGGGCGTTCTCGCACGTCGCACGGGCGGGCCTC